GAGGGACAGTGCAGGAGAGAAAGACCCTGGATGAGATGGATTGATACAGTAACTGCGACAATGGGCGTAGGTATGTTGTAGTCAATGTGACTGGCTCAGGACAGGGCACGCTTCAGAGCTGTTGTGCATAGGGTTGCTATGAATCACAGATGATTCAACAGCACATAACAACAACAACAACAACATTAGATGTATTGAACAGAATAATGGAAATATTAACATTATATCCCTTTGAACCACAAATTCTAAACGGCTATTTTGACATGAAAATAGGAAGAATCTTGGAGCATGTGTGGTACATTAAGAAAATAATCCTGAAGTGAGTTACTGCTCTGCCTTTCATGGGCACAGCAGTACATCCCAATATAAAACTCAGATTGGGTTTAGTAGCTGTAAAAGAAAGAGACATATTCACCAAAGATAATTTGTTCAGGGGTCCTGGAGTCTCTCAGAGACCTAATCAGGTGACCTTGACCAATATGTCCCTTTAATTGCAACAGCAAATATAAATCAAGAGTGAATTCATGTAACCAGTTGTATGACCAGATAAAAGGATCTAATGAAAACCTTGTAAAACAGTATAAAGGCACTTGGAAAGAACTTAACAACTAAAGCAGACAAAACAAACCATCCTCACCACTTGCATGGGTGAGACCTTCCACTGGTAATGGAAATAAAAGGTTTAAAGACTCAAAGTTGGGAAGTTAGAGGTGAATCCATTCATTTGAACAGAACTTGGAAGAGCAAGGGGATGAGATCACAAAGTTTTGACCAAGGAGAGTTCACTTGGAGAACCGGCTCTGAGCAGCCAAAGTGGACTCATATTATTACTGGACATCTGTAAAACGTCTTTAAGGCACCAAAAGTCCAGCCATTATTTATCTGATAATAAACATGGATTCACAGATTTTTCTTGTATGTTGTTTTCAAAAGGGTTGGCTGAGGACATCAATTAGTAAAGTTGGACTGCAGGAGGATACTCACAACTTATAAAAAGTCACAGAATTAGTCTTTGTCACAGCTTGAATTTGCACTATTATTCTCATTGAATTATAACACTTAGATGTTTCCATTTCATTGCAAGAAATAATATATGATCAAGAATCAAAGATATTAAAGGAAGAATTTCAAGCTTCCCTGAAGGCATTGGCCAAAAGTAAGGCTCCAGGAATTAGAAGGTTACCTATTGAGATGTTTCAGCAAACAGATGCAGCCCTCAACACAGTTACTCATCTATGCAAGACATTTAGAAGACAGCTACCTGGCCAATTGGCTGGAAGAAATATATGTGTGTACTGATTTTTTTTTCTTAAAAAAAGGTAGTTTAACAGAATGCAGAGATGATTATAAAATATTATTAGTATCACCTGCAAGTAAATTCTTGCAGAAGTTTATTTAAAATTGACTGAGCAATATATATTTTTTTCTTTTTTTTATTATTATTAAATTTTATTAGTGTCAATGAACACTCACAGGGATTCTGGGCTTTCACTCCTTCATTGCCGCACCATTCTCTCAACACTCCTCCCCAGTTTGTTCTTCTTCCCCGCCATCCCAATGTCTGTTTCAATTGTCCAATTGCCACAGTGCTTGTCAAAGTCAGTTCTGATTAATCTCCTTTGTTGGTGTGTCCTTTGTCATTCCCTATCACTCCTCCCTGAGA